ATTTATAATGGTCTGAAATCATACGCACGATTTATAATTGGTTGAGTGAGCAGCGCTAGTTCGTTAGTTCGCTATTACATGTATGATTTCAGACCAGAAGTTCAATTACCACTTTATTATAGCCATTTTGAAATCGCAGAATTCAGTGAGATTTACAACAGAAATGATGCAATTTAGAACATGAATGATGCGATTTAGAACAGATGTAATTTAGAGCAAAAATTACTGTGATTTTTGTGAGTAAATCACACTGCTGAGAACAAATCAGATTGCGGGGATCACCAGTGATTTGAAAATGGATGTAATAAAGAACAAAAATTACGCAAACCTGTCGCTCTTTGATTGATTACTTAAAATTGAGCAACTACAGTGTATCAGCGAACTTGTAGTATTTTAAATCTTAGGTGTATTTTACCAGTGGCTAGTTAAAGCCCGCCAGACCATGGGGAGTGGTCTAGTGGTCTAGTGGTCTAGATTTATATTTATTGATACAGGTATCAACATACTCAATAAAACATACAGTGACCTGTAATCATGACCTGTGCAATGTGACCTGTAATCATGACCTGTGCAATGTGACCTGTAAAAGAAACCTCTTGCTGCACTAGATCCTTGAATGGTTAATATGTTTTACATGCATACCATGTTTTGGGTTAGTCTGCTCAATGTAACTTTCATTGTACATGTATATTGGACTTACCGCATCTCCCGCGAGACCCGCCATTCCACTGGTTTCCAATTGCGACCCATTGATACTTGTTAATCTTCCTCTGCAGACTGGGCAGTTTACTGAAGTCTATAAAACAATTCCACACAATAGCAGATTACTTACGAGGCAGTCACGGTCACGATCACTTCTGTCCGCTTTTAATAAACATGACTGTAACTAAGCTGCATGCTTGCAACATTCAGCTGAGATCGTTCCACGTCCACCTCTACTACAAAGTTATTTAACGTCCTCAGCCATGAATGTGCAGAACCCTACGTTCCATGCAACATTCATCCGGCAAAGCATGGCATATCAAATGCAGGTTATCCCCCACTTAACCTTCTAAACAACCGGCGATCAATGATTCCATGATTGCACAAAATGGCGACCACATCACGTGACAACTCTCAGCTTGTATAAATAAACTTACAGTTTTACTTGTTTTTAATAAATTCCAGTCTGATGTAATTGTATTTTCATCATAGCTACTGCCGTTTACTAATTAAAAATGATTAGTTTGGAGAGATCTATGAGAAGTTAATGAAAAAATGCTAAGCTACAGTGTAAAGCTCTCTTGGAGTGTGCTCTGCTCGAAAAAAATTACAACTGGCCTTATCTAACAGGGACCGCGGAGCAAGGTGAAAAGTGGGAGGGCTGACAATTGAAAATAATTTTTTCATATTGAAAATCGAAAAAACGAATAAAATCCTAGTATCTGATTTGTTTCTGTCGCGTGACTTTGCATACTTTTCTGCAGAGCTTACAGACTTTGACGAAGTCCCAGATAACTCTAATAAACGACCAACATCCACGGTCAGTTCAGATTCAATGCGAGAAAAGACGCGATTACAATTTTAGTATACAAATACTGCACTGAAGTGATCTGAAAAATTTCTAACTATGGCCGTTCGCTGTTCAAGTAATGTAATTCTTCTTGCCATCGAATATTTCAGAAAGACAAAATATAAAACTTTTTTCAACTCAAAACACCTACTCACCTTCGTTTGGCTTGAAAAAGCTAGTAATTTTCTTCATTTCGTCTTGATAAAACTGATAAAAAAAACTCTGCCGGAGCTGGAAGTACAAAACACGCTGCCGAACGAAGCGAAGGGGTGGCCAAGGCATGGCGTTTGATCAAGGGGTAAGTCGGCCCCAGGGCACAATTACCGCGAAAAGCACAGGAGCCCCACAAAATGCCTGGCGTTTGATATTAAAGAAAATACAGAGAATATAGCGGAATATAGACGGAAAAAAACTTGTTTCAAGTCTTTTTTTTTATTTTAATTATTTTTCTTTTTAGCGCAAAAAGTGGGGGAGCGGGCGCAAAAAAGTGGTGGGGCCGCGGCCCTACCAGCCCCTCCCCCTCCGCGGTCCCTGTCTAAGCAGGCTCCTGATCTTAGACAAAAACAAAACCAGTAAATCTCCCACACACACAACACACTTAACCTATTCAATCACACCTAATTTAAAATTTCGTTGTTTTTTTCCTCCGTTGACCTAATTTATAAGCACAGTGTTGCATGCAATGGAAGACAAGATGATCGATCCTTCTGTTCCTTTAATACTTCGATCTACTTACCGCCGTCCAATCCTGGATGCATTTTAAACAAAACACGTGAAAACAGGGTTCGACCTGACCATTCTCGTTTCCAATAGAATCAAGGCAAATAGGGCAATCGCCACTGTTCATTTCTTCTCCAAAAAATAAGTGATGAATCGACATCTAGTAATTGGCGCCCTTTTTTATATTCACGCAGAAACAATCGAGAACTGCATGTCGGGATCGCCCAACTTGTTTCCAGGGTTTGCCCAACCTCGTACCCAGACTCTTTTAGATTCTTGGTACGATTTTAGGTAGGTACCTCATATATGATTATTATAGTGTAGTACCAACCCGATGCACGCAAATGACTGCAATTTTCGTTAGGTTGGTTTTCAAAAAATCGGCTAGAACTATAATTAAAAACAGTACGAGTCAGTTGATTATTGAAAGGAGTTTTAGAATTAAGGATTTGTATGAAGCCATCAAAGCATAACGGTTCTTCTTGCTCCCAATTTGCATTAACGAGGCCCCGCCATCACTAACAGGCTCCCACATTTTTCACATGTGGGCTTTTTATCTTGTTCTTTCTGGATAAGTCAACCAAAAAAAAAATTCATAAATTTGAATTGTTGTGACGTCATACTTCTCTTCTCAATAGGAGAGTCGACAGAGTCACTTTGCATGGAATGCTAATAAACCGTTTTTATTATATGAAGAGCTTTGATTGAATGAGATATTCTATGAATAAAGGAGTCAGTTTTCTAAGGCTATGTTCTCTCTCCTCCCCAAAGGTTCACGCTGGGTATCCCAATAAAAATAACAATAATGGAATAATAGAAAGCGCTTGTCTCTTTTCCCTTCCCATCATGCCACGCGCGCTCTCTTTTTCTTTCTCCCCAGCCTCCCTACGTCAAAAAGAAGCCTCTACGGAGGAGAGTGGGCTATGTTCACACTGTCTCGGATAGCTTTCCGTGCTTTTTTGTGCTATCCGGTATAGAATGAACATACGGCTAAGAAACTGTGGTGTTGCGTCGTTGGGGTGAAGTGCAAAAATTTGGTGCTATATAATAAATGGGTTGATAAAAGTCGATTTGATCTGATAAAGGCCCTTCTCGAAATGCCAGCTTCTTGAAAGTGGCTTCTTAAAAGTCTCTCAAAAGTGGCTAATTCAAGTTCTTTTATCCCGTCAGTTCAACAGACTATTTCCGGCCCGATAAGGGCTGCAGCCAGAGCATGGGTGCTTTCACTTTGAGCAATAATCTATTGGCAAATGTAGTGAAGGCGCATAAATAGGAATATTTCAGGTTGTTAATATGACAAACCAGCATTTTGTCGATGGGTAACTGAATAATTCCCCTTTGAAGCCTCCTTCACTGAAACATGGTATATCGCATGCCTTTTTTATCAATCTACGCCAAATATAGTTGCAAAAAATGGTTACAAATGCACACGCAACTAAATGGTTATTGAATTAATTAAGACTGAAGCCGCCAACAAAGAAAACAAGTCGTGAAAGAAAATTTGCTGTTGTGCTAGTTATTCTTCCTTGTGATACGACTTTTGCTATTCTATGCTTCTTTTCCTATGTACTTTACTGAACTTAAAACATTAAAGTCGTGAGAAAAAAAATCGTAGCTTGGGGCCGAAACGTGCCAAACCTCATGTAAGGCGCCGTTTGATTACCTGTATAACGCACACTCTGACTGCCATGAAAGAAAATCTTAAAACAACCGTGCAAGGCAAGCCCCTCATGCATTTCTCACCTATAGTATTTAACGTAACCCTATTTGAAATAATATAAAACAGTTCACACGGCATTTTGAAACAATTACATTCAGTTAGTAAAGTCTTTGATTTGCTGCCATTTTCAGTCTTAAAGATGTTTGAGGGGTATGAGAGGTGTCGAGTGCTTTATCAGATCATTTGATCACTCGTTTACAAAGGCTACACCTACTATTCTTTGTAACAATATGTTGCAGTGTCCACATTCAACCTACCTGAGACAAATAAGCTTGGCTGAAAGCATTACTCCTTAACTCGCTAAAGCGTTGAGAATCAGTCAAACCTGAATATGACCATCTTGCCTTTTTTGTTTGCTTTAAGCCTTTTTGTGGCCAATCTGAAACAATCTGCTCCTCAGGTAAATGTTTTCAGTAATTTATTTTCAGCCTTAGTTATGTTTCTATGCATGATATCACAACCTGGATGGATTTTAATCCAGTATCGTCCAAATGTGATAGAGCTGATCCTCTAATATATTTTGAATTTCAGACGTCTTACGTCTTTTGTTTTTCAAATCAACTTCCTTACAATTGAAAGATCGATTCATGTAAAATACTACAGACATTCCGCTTGGGCAACCCAGCGATGGAATAGCATCACATCCAGGGGAAGTAGCAGTACCACTAGGGGCTGTATTGTACTTAGGGGTAAAATAAGTTATGGTGACATACTGCTGGGTAACCCTACGATGGACTAACATCCCAATGATACAGAGGAATTAGTGGTATACCACTATGTCTTGTACCCAGGTATAAAATGAGTCATAATGATATACTGCTGGGGGTAAACCCACGATGGACTAACACCCCATCCAGGGGGGAGTAACAATACTTCCAGTTGTTTTCTGCTACAGAATCTGGGTTAAGCTTCAGCCGCTTGGGTCGTGTAAGCCACCTTGGTTTACTTTCGCCTTCCAATAGCTATACCAGCTTCCATTTCTATGCATTATATCTATTCTGTCCGTAGAGCAATGAGTCAGCAGCAACTCCAAAGCCAACCAGCTGTCACTTGCAACAAACTACCTGCTGCAAAGATGGTAAGGGGAAATAATGCTTGACTTTTCTCCAGGATTTGCAAGATATTTAATCTCAGAAACATTGTGATCAGTTTAAAAATGTCATTTGCTCTATTTTTGTGGCAGGAAAAGACGGCAAAGATGGGAAAAACGGTATGTCAGTGTGCATTTATAAGAACCTTATTCCCGAATCAATCTCACTTCTTTTAAAGTTTACATGAACACTTCTAAGCAGGCTCCTGATCTTAGACAAAAACAAAACCAGTAAATCTCCCACACACACAACACACTTAACCTATTCAATCACACCTAATTTAAAATTTCGTTGTTTTTTTCCTCCGTTGACCTAATTTATAAGCACAGTGTTGCATGCAATGGAAGACAAGATGATCGATCCTTCTGTTCCTTTAATACTTCGATCTACTTACCGCCGTCCAATCCTGGATGCATTTTAAACAAAACACGTGAAAACAGGGTTCGACCTGACCATTCTCGTTTCCAATAGAATCAAGGCAAATAGGGCAATCGCCACTGTTCATTTCTTCTCCAAAAAATAAGTGATGAATCGACATCTAGTAATTGGCGCCCTTTTTTATATTCACGCAGAAACAATCGAGAACTGCATGTCGGGATCGCCCAACTTGTTTCCAGGGTTTGCCCAACCTCGTACCCAGACTCTTTTAGATTCTTGGTACGATTTTAGGTAGGTACCTCATATATGATTATTATAGTGTAGTACCAACCCGATGCACGCAAATGACTGCAATTTTCGTTAGGTTGGTTTTCAAAAAATCGGCTAGAACTATAATTAAAAACAGTACGAGTCAGTTGATTATTGAAAGGAGTTTTAGAATTAAGGATTTGTATGAAGCCATCAAAGCATAACGGTTCTTCTTGCTCCCAATTTGCATTAACGAGGCCCCGCCATCACTAACAGGCTCCCACATTTTTCACATGTGGGCTTTTTATCTTGTTCTTTCTGGATAAGTCAACCAAAAAAAAAATTCATAAATTTGAATTGTTGTGACGTCATACTTCTCTTCTCAATAGGAGAGTCGACAGAGTTACTTTGCATGGAATGCTAATAAACCGTTTTTATTATATGAAGAGCTTTGATTGAATGAGATATTCTATGAATAAAGGAGTCAGTTTTCTAAGGCTATGTTCTCTCTCCTCCCCAAAGGTTCACGCTGGGTATCCCAATAAAAATAACAATAATGGAATAATAGAAAGCGCTTGTCTCTTTTCCCTTCCCATCATGCCACGCGCGCTCTCTTTTTCTTTCTCCCCAGCCTCCCTACGTCAAAAAGAAGCCTCTACGGAGGAGAGTGGGCTATGTTCACACTGTCTCGGATAGCTTTCCGTGCTTTTTTGTGCTATCCGGTATAGAATGAACATACGGCTAAGAAACTGTGGTGTTGCGTCGTTGGGGTGAAGTGCAAAAATTTGGTGCTATATAATAAATGGGTTGATAAAAGTCGATTTGATCTGATAAAGGCCCTTCTCGAAATGCCAGCTTCTTGAAAGTGGCTTCTTAAAAGTCTCTCAAAAGTGGCTAATTCAAGTTCTTTTATCCCGTCAGTTCAACAGACTATTTCCGGCCCGATAAGGGCTGCAGCCAGAGCATGGGTGCTTTCACTTTGAGCAATAATCTATTGGCAAATGTAGTGAAGGCGCATAAATAGGAATATTTCAGGTTGTTAATATGACAAACCAGCATTTTGTCGATGGGTAACTGAATAATTCCCCTTTGAAGCCTCCTTCACTGAAACATGGTATATCGCATGCCTTTTTTATCAATCTACGCCAAATATAGTTGCAAAAAATGGTTACAAATGCACACGCAACTAAATGGTTATTGAATTAATTAAGACTGAAGCCGCCAACAAAGAAAACAAGTCGTGAAAGAAAATTTGCTGTTGTGCTAGTTATTCTTCCTTGTGATACGACTTTTGCTATTCTATGCTTCTTTTCCTATGTACTTTACTGAACTTAAAACATTAAAGTCGTGAGAAAAAAAATCGTAGCTTGGGGCCGAAACGTGCCAAACCTCATGTAAGGCGCCGTTTGATTACCTGTATAACGCACACTCTGACTGCCATGAAAGAAAATCTTAAAACAACCGTGCAAGGCAAGCCCCTCATGCATTTCTCACCTATAGTATTTAACGTAACCCTATTTGAAATAATATAAAACAGTTCACACGGCATTTTGAAACAATTACATTCAGTTAGTAAAGTCTTTGATTTGCTGCCATTTTCAGTCTTAAAGATGTTTGAGGGGTATGAGAGGTGTCGAGTGCTTTATCAGATCATTTGATCACTCGTTTACAAAGGCTACACCTACTATTCTTTGTAACAATATGTTGAGGTGTCCACATTCAACCTACCTGAGACAAATAAGCTTGGCTGAAAGCATTACTCCTTAACTCGCTAAAGCGTTGAGAATCAGTCAAACCTGAATATGACCATCTTGCCTTTTTTGTTTGCTTTAAGCCTTTTTGTGGCCAATCTGAAACAATCTGCTCCTCAGGTAAATGTTTTCAGTAATTTATTTTCAGCCTTAGTTATGTTTCTATGCATGATATCACAACCTGGATGGATTTTAATCCAGTATCGTCCAAATGTGATAGAGCTGATCCTCTAATATATTTTGAATTTCAGACGTCTTACGTCTTTTGTTTTTCAAATCAACTTCCTTACAATTGAAAGATCGATTCATGTAAAATACTACAGACATTCCGCTTGGGCAACCCAGCGATGGAATAGCATCACATCCAGGGGAAGTAGCAGTACCACTAGGGGCTGTATTGTACTTAGGGGTAAAATAAGTTATGGTGACATACTGCTGGGTAACCCTACGATGGACTAACATCCCAATGATACAGAGGAATTAGTGGTATACCACTATGTCTTGTACCCAGGTATAAAATGAGTCATAATGATATACTGCTGGGGGTAAACCCACGATGGACTAACACCCCATCCAGGGGGGAGTAACAATACTTCCAGTTGTTTTCTGCTACAGAATCTGGGTTAAGCTTCAGCCGCTTGGGTCGTGTAAGCCACCTTGGTTTACTTTCGCCTTCCAATAGCTATACCAGCTTCCATTTCTATGCATTATATCTATTCTGCCTGTAGAGCAATGAGCCAGCAGCAACTCCAAAGCCAACCAGCTGTCACTTGCAACAAACTACCTGCTGCAAAGATGGTAAGGGGAAATAATGCTTGACTTTTCTCCAGGATTTGCAAGATATTTAATCTCAGAAACATTGTGATCAGTTTAAAAATGTCATTTGCTCTATTTTTGTGGCAGGAAAAGACGGCAAAGATGGGAAAAACGGTATGTCAGTGTGCATTTATAAGAACCTTATTCCCGAATCAATCTCACTTCTTTTAAAGTTTACATGAACACTACCCGTCTTGCCCATCGTAAGTGCTTCGTTTTGGCTTCTCTTTATTTGTCTTAATAATAATAATAATAATAATTATAATAATTATAATAATTATAATCATAATAATAACAATCTTTATACAAGGAGCTTACTTCGCAAAGAGTGATATTCAGTGAGGCCTAATAGTAATAATAAGTAAAAAGTTAAAAACTAACAACTTAACTTGTATAAGCTACAGGTTAAAAATATTAAAATGTCAGATAGATTAAAATATTAAAAGCTATAAAATGTCTAAAATATTGTCTATATGAATATAAAATATAATGTGTTTTATGTCTTTGTATAGAACAGTTAGATCATGAAGCAGTGATATTAGTTTTGATATTCAAGCCAATTTTCAGATCTTGTAGAAAGTGCTGTACTTAGCAGTTACCTAAATAGTTGAACCTAGAGTTTGAACTGTAAAGTGACAGCGGAGACGGTGGAGAAATGAGCTGAAATTTTTTATTGCAGTAGCAATAAATGGGCACATTTCTGCAGAGATATTCTATCGACCTTCATAACCTAAGAATATTTTTAACACATCAATACCAATATATTACGCCTGGCACACTTTTGAGACTGATTTTATCATGCTACCCATTCCACTTGAAATATGCAAGGGTCATATATATTCTTTTTCTGGGTCAGAAACTGTTTATTATTAATATACCACATTAGAATCGAACAACCGCCACACTACTTATTAAAGGCTTCGACTTGTTGGTGAGGCTCTTATTTTGGGGTGTGGCTCACTCAAAACTAGCACAGAAATTACCCAACCTTTCTATCTCCTTTGTTTTGTTCAAAAAATATAACTATGGAAAAAAGTTTGTTTCAAACGATTGGTTAACTTTCTAAATTCAAAAACAATTTTCTCGGACAATTTTCTGTGCTATTTTTAGAGCTTCCAATCATCAACTTGTAGACAAAAAGAATTAAAACTGAAATGCTCTTTAAGCTTTCAAATATGAATTCAAATCTCTCACTAACCCGGGGTTATCTAACCCAGCTTTGAACAACTCGGCCCTGGTGGATAGTTTGAACAACCGGGGCCAGATGGTACGGCTCAGGAAAAACCTGGGGAGAGCGCCAAAGGAGCCTTCGTGGCCCTCCTCAGTCTCTACTCAGTCTCTCGAGATAACATTCACGGGATCCTATGAAAATAATAAACGCGTAACTTTAACCATGGACAATTTTTTTGTTGCTTATACAGGAAAAGACGGGCGCGATGGAATTCACGGTAGAGTAGAATATTGTTTTTACTCTTCATGCAGTGGTAAATAATATGGTTACGTGTACACTCGATCCTAGAAAACTCCCTCGGCTTTGTGTCGGAGAACGTTGCAAACGTTTCCATGCAAAAACTTGGGGGCGGGTGGGGGAGGGGGGCATACGGAATTTTCGCGCGAACGACGCCAAGTATTTCCTATGCAGTCAGGCTGTAGCGGTGGTGTAGGCCAATCTCTCAGGAGTGCGCGATTACTCGGGGCAAGCGGCATTTTTTCTTTTCTGGAGATGGAGTTTATTAGATCCTGGCGAAAAAAAAAACCGTCAGGAGCCGACGATGATACCGTCATATGTTCTACATTCAGTTTCCGGACAACCTGTTGCTTATTTAGAATTATTTAAACCTAGGAAAAGACGGCCGCGACGGAAGAACTGGCAGACGTGGAGCGAAGGTTGTTGTGATTTGTTTCCTTGTTCAGTTATTAGTATTAATTTTTACAAGACCTTCCTATGACTCACTTGGCAAACCTCATGTAGCGCTTTCATGCTAAAACTACTAATATCTAAAGTGGGCACAGGTTTAGAAGGAGTATGAGCTACCTATTCTATGTACTCATAGCAGTTTTTTGTCAGCTTTCTTTGATTTTCGCAATCCGTGGTACGCAGACTCCAAGACAGGCATTTTTCCCGACCACGTAATAGCTACAATAGATGAGGAAAATATAACATGCATCTTGTATAGAAAAGGCAAATGGTCATACATCATACAGACCATTTATGCCAGGGTGTAAAGCTGGGCGTAACTACCGTAAAAGAGAAATCCCTAGCTGTTATATACCCCTCCTTGCAATTGCATAAAGTACTGGTACCTGGAAACTCAAAAACTAGCGACAGCCCTGTTAAAATATTGTTGTTCTTGAGTTGTTTGTGTGATTCTTTGTTTTCTTTTCTTTTGTTTTGTTTTTTTTTTGCCGTCGCTTTTATTCTCTTTTTTCAGGGGGAAATGGGTGAACCAGGCATCAGAGGTCAAGATGGAAAAACTGGTGCCAAGGTTTGCAGATTTTAAACCTTTTAGACAAATCGGTCTTAAACAACTAAAAGAAGTGTTGTACATCATTTCTCGCTTGACAATGATAAACGTTAAGAATATGAAAGGAATTTATATTCCTGCAATTGAAAGGACATCTGGGGTTAGCTATCAGTTGTGCAAAAGGTAAATTAAATAGCCCTGTTCAACTCTTTTCCAGCGAAAAAATACAATTATTTCCCTATTAACACGTATCCACCCGCTGATAACTTATATGGTCATGGGTATCTTGAACAACCGGGGTCGAACATGAGAGGTGTCATGATGCTTATTAAATTGTGTCAGTCGCTTCTTCAATTACTATGACTTTTTTCCAAGGCTTGTAATTTTGATATCGAGTTTTGCCTTGTGTCGTGAAGTATTTTGAAAGTTTTTTAAGTTTCGTTTTTGTTTAATTAAGAAGGTCAAAGTTAGTTTTGATTTTGTCTATAGGTGTCTTCCTGTTTTCATCTTATGTTTTTTACTTCAGGGTTGTGCTTGAATTTTTACTTAGCTCGAGAGTTCACTCAGTAATTCCATTTTAGGAATATTCTTCTCTTGCCATTGTCAGATGTTAGTTTTTCGTAGGTGGTCATGTTTTAGATATTAGAGCTGACCTTGGTTCATTAGTCTCGTTAAGGTTCCTGTTTGGGTTTGTTAGCCAGCGTTTTAGTTTATCATTGGTTTGTAGCCTCTTGCCGATCGCAACCATGTAGGTTCGGTGATATCAAAACATTACCCACGGAGTTCACCTTGATTTTGTTCCCTCGGTCAGCTAACCCAAACATGTCCAGCTATGGCTATAAAAACTGCTACTACTAGTTAGTGAGAGAAGAGTTAGGACTGAGTAGAGAAGAAGAGTAAGACGATTAAGATTGTTAGCAGAAGTCAAACAATAATAAAGACCAAGATGTCAATCAGGTTCCTGGTACCTGATCATGTAGCGAGCGAGTTGCTCGAATACAGTCCACATATGTATCGCCTTATGTAAGAGAATTCAAGGCAATCTTTGATTCTGGATTCCGCGCCGTGGATTCCAGGTACTGGATTCCAGTCTTTGTCGGTGGACTCTGGGATTCTGGATTTCAATCGTTAGTGGGATTCCGGATTCCTAGTTGGGTTATATTCCGGATTCCAAAGCCAAATTGGCTTTGCATGGTCACGCACTGTCCTGTTCCATCTTTCTACTCTAGTTTTCATGTTTAACTGTCTACTTGCTACACGTTTTGTTACGTACAATTCAAGGTGTGGTATCGAGGCCAAAGTAAACAAATAAAAATCTAACAGGTTATAAAATGTCTCCTGTCTGCTGTGGATGTGAAATCTATTTTCAACTAAGCAGAAGGATGTACGTACAGTCTGTTTGTCAGCTTAAATTTAAATCAAAATAGTCTGATAATTTGGTTAATTTGGTTTGGTTTAAAGGGGGAGAAAGGTTCCTCTGGAGACAAAGGAATGAAGGGCGAAAAGGGACAGCCAGGACCAAAAGGCCGTAAGTCACGTGAAGTAAAGTAAAAGTGGAACAGTAAGAAAAAATGGAGAAGTAGACACAATAGCCTGAGAAACCACAAAACAGCCGACATTTTGCGACACCAC